TATATTATATTCAGTAGCAGCCTGATAGCCCAGCCTAGCCCAGTCTTATCAGAGCCTGGAAGCTAAGCAGGGTCAGACACAGTTACTACTTGGAAGGGAGACCAGCAAGAAAGACTGGGATTGCCATGCAGAGGAAAGCAATGGCAAACCACCTTTTGCTTGAAACACTATCGTCCTGGGGTTGCCATGAGTCACTTGCAGGTTGATGGCACTCAGTTATATTATCATTTCAGTGCACAGTATAGACTCCAACTGCTTTAAACCTTAATTATAATGCAGTGTGTACCATCATACTATGTGGGTCGAAATTTTCTGAGCATTGCTGCTGTCACAAGTAAGTGCTGTGTGGGTAAACCCACTTGCGGGGAGGGCAGGGTAAAAATGTCCTAAATAAATAAAAATAAATAAATAAAATAAACATTCTGCTACTGCAGAGCACTGGTGACGGTTCAGAGAAAAACAGCTGGTGTAGTTTTCTTGTTGGAGGCTTGCACAGAGAAGCCAGGGCTGGTTTTGGTTTCTTGTCTTGTTCAAGGAGAAGAAGGAAGGTGAAAGAAGTCATAATAGACATTGTTTGATGTGGTAGTGATGATCTTTTATTGTGAGTGTCCTTTTTGTGTCGTATCCACCTTGTGTTGTATTGAATTCAATGCCTAAGTTGCCCCAACCCCTTTGGAGATACATTTACATTAATTGGATCTGATTCCTATTTCTCCAGGCTATGCCCAGCAGAGGAGGTTGCTACAGCTGTGTAATTTTATTTTAAAGGGCTGTACCGGATTACTAATACACTGGAAAATGCAGAACTTTTGAAGAACAGAGACGTAATGTGTCAGAGTTTTGCTGAGATCCTAGTTCTGTTCTAAACACAGCTATCGTGGAAATATTTGGTTGTCCAGAATGTCACTCTTTATTGGATGGTGTAATAATTATGAAAGTTGCAAATGGTTGCAGTTTGCCAGCAATAGTAACTTGAGATTTAAATATCTTTCTGAAACTTCACGATCATGACAGGTGTCTAAGCCAAAAAAAAGAGTAACTAACAGTTGTTTCAATTATAATTTAACTCTGATAACACAGTGCAAGTGGTCAGAGTTCTGTTTTGTGCTGTTGTTTTTATTTTTTCTGATTGGTTGAAAAAAAATACTTGTAAAATCTGGTGAATTTCCAGGGAAATGTAGTTCAGAGTTGTGTCTGCCATTGAGAGCCATTGTGGTATAGTGGTTGTGAGCAGCAGACCCTAATCTAGAGAATCTCCCCACTCCTCCACATGAAACTTTCTGGGTGACCTTGGCCCAGGCACAGTTCTCTCACAACTCTCAGCCCCACCTGTCTCACAAGGTGTCTGTGATGGGGAGAAGAAGGGAAGGAGATTGAGACTCCTGAGAGTAGAGAAAAACAGGGTATGAAAACCAACTCCTCCCCCTCCTCCTCCTCTTCTTCTCCTTCCTGTTCAATCAACATACATTTTTGATGCCCAAGGTGCATAATCCAAAGACATCTTCCAAAATCTTCTTCATAATTAATTAATTAAATTATTTTTGTTTTGATGTGGTTTATTATTGTGGAAGCTATTATGAAATTAATCTTTGTTACTATGGTGGTGAATTTTATAGTATAGCTGGCAATGTAATTTACAGTAGTGTGATGTTATGATTCTGTGTTTGTTGTTTGCTGCGACTTTGAGTCAACACAAACAGAGTACTTGACCTGAAAATAAAATAGACAGGTAGTACACACCTTTACCTTTTTACACACAGAAATACACATGAAGCTGCTTTATACTGAACCAGACTGATGGTTTATCACAGTTAGTATTGTCCGCACAGACTGGCAGCAGCGCTCCAGGGTCTCAGGCAGAGGCAGCCTTGAGTGGGTGGTACCGTAACACTACAGTCTTGGCCCATCTACACTGGCCCCCGATTTGTTTCTGGGCCCAGTTCAAGGTACTGGTATTGACCTTATACAGCCCAAGGCCACCATATCTTTTTTCAATACATATTTTTATTACTTTAGAAAACAAAGTAATAGTATAGAGGAGATACAAAAAAGAAAAGAGGGATTATATAACATAGTTGTATATATCAAGGATAATTATATATTACAGAGTGTATAAAACAGGAAATATTTGCCCTGACCTGGATAGTCCAGGCAAGCCTGATCTCATCAGATCTCAGAAGCTAAGCAGGGCTGACCCCGGCAAGTATTTGGATCAGAGATCTCCAAAGAATACCATGGCCGGGAGGGGTTGGCAAACTATATCAGCACTTCTCTGAATGTCCTCCGAGCTTCACTAGGGGTTGCCAGAGGTCACCATAACTTCCAGGCACAGGCACGCATGTGCGCGCATGCACACATGCACACTACAAAAATACCAAAAATAACCCAGAAAAATTATCCCCAACATCACCTTCATTATAAGTAATTATCTATAAAATACAGTGGTCCTTCTGTTGGGGTCAGGTCCGTAGCTAGGAATTTTGGGGGGAGGTGGGGTGCTGGGGGTGCTAATTTAATCAACGTAGCTAATTTAATTATCTACAGCCCTTCTATTGCAAACCAACACAGCTACCCCCATGAAACTATCCTTAGAGGAAGGATGGGATAAATATATCCTTAATAAGTTGTAATGTATCCATATCAGATCGCGTCCGCGGCCATTTCGCCACGCGGTCAGACGAAGCGACCGAGCTTCGCTCTAAGTAACAATGGGACAAGCGGATCCTAGCCAACACCTATCGGCAGGCTAGGCTCCTGGCCGAGAGCCTATGGAACTCTCAGCCACTGTAAATAGCCAATCACTTGTGTGTGGGTGTGTTTGGGGAGCGGGGTTTGTGCACATATAAACCAGCTTGTGAGCTGGGTGCTCTCATCTTGTTCTGAGCTGAAATGAGAGTATGAGAGCTGAAATCAATAGTAAGTCTCAGTACTTTTCATAAGTGATAATAAAGAATGATGCTACTGAGTTACCAATCACAGGGAATTGTAGCCATGTTCCTTCCTCTTCTGCAAACACCTTCCTAGACTGGAAGAAAGCCACCCCCAGTCTGACCCACATGGCACTCCAGTTTCTGGCTGGCCTGGGAGGCACACACAGCAGAGAGACTGCTGACCGATGGTGCGATTTGTCTTTAATTTATTCAAATCTCCTTTTTTTACAAACAGAAAGAAATGCAAGCAAGCACCGTACTGTTAAAAAAAAAAAAGCAGATCGGTGGCTGCTGTACATTCTATACTCTTTATAATTTCTTCTTCTTCTTGCATTAAAATTTATCATTTTTGTCTTATCCTGTTGATTTTGTATCCTGAGAAGGATCCAAATTCTTCAATACTTGGAAAAATTCTTAAATGTTTGTTTCATTATGTATGGTAATGATTTTTGGAAGTCCAAGACTCTTAGAACCACATCGTCTGCAAAGCTTTTCATTTTAAATTCTACATCATCCACTTTTATTCCTTTGATCCTTGTGTCTTGTCTGATCTTTGTAGCTAAAGTCTCTATCTCTAGGATAAATAGTAGGGGTGACAAGGGACATCCGTGGCATGTTCCTTTTTTGATTGAAATTGCTTGTTAATTTTCCATTTATTAAAAAATGTACTTGTTGGTTCAAGTATATACCTTGCATCATGTTCCAGAATTCAGGGCCATAGCCCATATTTTGAAGTACATTCAGTAGAAAAGACCATGTTAAATTATCGAACACTTTTGCTGCATCCAGAAATTAAAATACTGCTTGCTTTCTTTTCTTGTTCACAAATTCGATTGCATCTCTTATGAATCGTATATTATCTTTCATATACCTCTTTGATACAAGGCATGTTTGATCAGTGTGTATTAAACTTGGTATACATTTTCTTAGTCTTTCTGCCATTACTGTGGCAAAGACTTTATAATCTATGTTCAGCAGATACGTCTATATGACTTTGATAGCATTGCATTGCTGTGAGGCCAGCATATCTTAAGGACCACCTACTGCACCATTACAGTCATCTTCTGAGGCCCTGTTTGGATGTCCCCCACCTTCTGAGTTTAGATAGGTGGCAGCCCGAGAGAGGGCCATTTCAGTCATGGCACCAAGGTTGTGGAACTCCCTCCCCAGGGACATTTGTATGTCCCCCTACTATCACTGTCTTCTGCCAGTGGGTGAAGGCTTTGGTCGAGGTCACATGAGCAGTTTGCCGCGGCAGTATATCAGCTGTAAATAATCTGCTTGAGTTTGGGACGCTTTGTGTCGATCACACAGCGCCCCCTAAGCCAGCATCATAATGCTGCTAGCACGCCGTAACCATGGACCTGCAGCTCAGTTGCTTGTGTTTTTTTCCCTAAGTCCCACTGTGCGTTCACAGAAGCAGAAAAGCACACACATGCTCTTGTCCGCATTCTATGAGGGTGCTGAAGTGCACATCAGAGTGGGGTTGGGGGAAGAAAGGACGCACCAGAAATGAAGTGAAATGATCACACCACTCATGCGTTTCCATGGCTCACCTGGGTGATCAGACTCCCAGAAACCCGCCATGGAAACGCCTTGCCAAGGTAGCCACCAGAATTAGCCAGTGGCTATTTAATCCACATGGGAGTCATTTTAGTGTGAGGTAGGGACAAGTGGGGCATGGGAGCCAGATGTGCATGTTTGCTCGCGCCCATTTGATCAGGGTGGTGGTGGCTATGTCAGTCCAAACTGCTCACGTGATCACATCCTTTGTTTCGTCTGGCATTCCCTCAATGACCCCTCCTTCCTGCCCTGTGTTTTGATTGATGTTTCTATATTTTTATATAGATGGCTTTTAGCTTTTGTTTTAACTCCATTTTATGTTTTGGTATTTATACTGTTGTTTTTAGGTGTTGGCTGCCATGGTGGCCTTGATTCTGCTGAAAGGCAGGATATAGATCCTAGAAAACAAATAGCATGGGGCAGAGTATCATGCAGTTCTGCAGCATGATATTCATGCAGGAGAATTTTCCAAAGTCAAATAATCTCTCTCTCATTTTGCTGACAAGGATGCCCAAGATCTGCTTACTAAGGCAGCAGCCTCTCCTTGATCATGGTAGGTGCTTCTGCAGTTTGTGTTTGCAAAGACCTGAAGGCAGGGAACAGCTGTTTTTCATAGATATACTTGTGTCTCAAGAGGTGAGATTAAGCGAAAATGCGAAGCAGGTTTAGAACTTTTGTTCTGTTGTTCTTTGGGAAGTGGCATTAACCATCCCTCAGTCTCTTTTCTGGCAATCCCTAAACTGAACATCCGAAGTGGCGAAAACATGGTTGCAGCAATGCAAGGTTCAGAGATGGGGACACATGGACTTATCAAGGGTCCTATAGGACACCAGTGAGATCTCCAAGCTGCTTTGCATAATTAAGCCATTTATCTTGAAGGGAAGGCTGAGCAATCATTACACCGAGGGGAGAAGGTTGCAGCTTTTGCCATTTTTTACTGCTTGCTATCCTATAACTTTCCTCAGTCAATAGTAAACACAGGGTTGTTGTTTTTTCCAGGTCTGTGGAAATGCCAGTTCAGTGACTCTTCCAGAGACTTTGCTGTTTGTTTCGACTCTGGATGGGAATTTACATGCTGTGAGCAAGAGGACAGGGTCAATTAAGTGGACTTTAAAAGAAGGTGAGTTTGAAATGCTACCTGGTCTCCTTTGTGGTCACTGTGAAAATGGCATAATCTTGGGAAACCTGTCTGCATTCCTGATTGTATTCATGTTTACTGGGATGTCAATCCTTTTGATTTATGGCACCTATTCACAAGTATGTTTACATAGAGTTGGTGTGTAGCAGTACAACCCCCCGTAAAATTATTCATCATAGGACTGCACTCTAAATCTGCTGTCTTATTATAAGGGCAGTTTCTGGTCAAGAATAATAGACTTTTTTAAAAAAATCTGCATTTAACTTTTGAATCTTCAAAGCATTTAGATTTTGTGTATTAACCTAGCAGTTTGAAATCAAGAAATTGCAAGTAGATAAATAAGTACCGCTTCAGTGGGAAGGTAACAGTGTTCTGTGCGCCTTGGTGTTTAGTCATGCCGGCCACATGACCACGAAAATGTCTTCAGACAGTGCTGGCTCTTCAGCTTTGAAATGGAGATGAGCACCGTCCCCTAGAGTTGGATTCGCCTAGCTTTCGAGCAAGGGAAACCTTTATTATTGAACTGCCACCCCTGGTATGAATTGCATCCTTCTGGTTAATACTAATGACATAGAATCAGCCACTGTGTTATTAGCCTAACTGTTGGAGCTTTCTCGGACCGATATCATTATTTTTGAGTATCCACTGTATCTTTATCCTGCCTTTCTTCCAAGAAGCTTGGAGTGATATTTATAGTTGGTGTGATATATGTAGTTTTCTTGTCCTCCATATTATCCTTACAATAACCCTATGAGGTAGATTACTATGAGAAGGTGACTCACCCAGCAAGCTTCATCTTGGGCAGGAATCTGAACCTTGGCCTCTCTGGTCTTATCCTGACTTTTGAAGAATTTTGCCACATGGGCTTTATGAATGGAATATAGGCCATCCTTTTGTTTTTGAGGTCAGAGTCTGGGTGTGCTGTTCCATGGCTTCCAATTTGTGCTGCTCTGATGTTCTGGGGTGCTTTAATTGATGGTTCGCCAGTCTCTATGGCTGCCTGATAAAGAGTGCTTTCTGTGTGCCTATAGTGATTTATTCTGTTCCCAAAGCAAACAACCTGGAATGGAAACAGAAATCTGTATGTACAAGTTTTTCTCATTAGAAAAAGCATTGCCTTAAAATATTTTTCTGTCTATAGTTTGGTGTAGTGGTTAAAAGCGTGGACTCTAATCTGAGAGGACCAGGTTTGATTCCCCACTCCTCCATATGCTGCTGCTGGTGTGACCTTGGGTCAGTCACAGGTTCTTTCAAAGCTGTTCTCTCAAGAGCAGTTTTCTCAAGAGCTCTTTCAGCCCCACCTACCTCACAGGGTGTCTGTTTGTGGGGAGGGGAAAGGAAGGAGATTGTAAGCTACTCTGAGTGAAGGGCAGGGTATAAATCCAATCTTCTCCTCCTCCTCTTCTTCTTCAGCTCCCCCCTTCTTCTCTATAAATCTATTCCCTTATGCAGTTCGGTTTGTATTTAAATTTAGCTGAAACATTAAATGAACTAACTCTCTTTAGCAATAGGTGAGTTGTATGAAAAAGAGAGCAAGTACTTCATAATGCAGCTTTCACTATTTTTAAATGAATTGCTTGTATTGTTAAATTTCAGATATTGTTTGCGGTCCATAGAGTTGCCAGCTCTAGGGTGAGAAATACCTGGAGACTTGGAGGGTGGAGCCCGCGGAGGCCAGGGTTTGGGGAGGAGCAGGACTTTAGTGGGGTATAATGCTATTGAATCCACCTTCCACAGCAGCCATTTTTTTCAGGGGAACTAATCTGTCGCCTGGAGATCAGTTGTGATAGTGGGAGATCTCCAGCCACCACCTGGAAGTTGGCAAACCAGGTTGTGGATAAAAGAATGGTTGGTAGTGAAAAAGTTCCAGATAAGCAGAACGCTTGAAATGTTTAAGGAAATTTGTCTTGTGGACAGATCCTGCTCTGGAGTAAGCTGATAGTACGCTTTCACTTTTACTTTACGCAGGAACATGATCTACCCAAAATCAATTAAGCAACATTGAGTTTCTGAAGACTGGTTACATAAAATATATGTGTGAGATCTCATGGTCCCTTGCTGTGCTTCCCAAAATGCATTTATCGTTTTTTAAAAAAATATTGTATTAAAAGAAAAGACATACAGAAAGTTACATATAATAAAACAAAAGGAATATTAATAAAAGTGAGTGAAAAATACATAAAATACAGCTTCAATCCTTTTATGGATTATACCTAATTCTGTGGTTTGTATCACCCTTGACCATACCTGGGCTACTTCAGATATATATCTACTTTTTACTGAAGTGCATATCTCTTTTGTTTTTAAAAGCCAGTCTTGTAGCATGAGAGTCTTTTTCTGTTTCCGTTGCTGGGCAATAAACAGCCTGGCTGCGGAGTTCACATGTATGGCAACTATTTGCAGATTTTTAGGGATATCCGATAAATAATTAAGCAGCAATGTCTCTGGTTTATAGGGGATTTGAATTCTCAGTATGCTAGATACCAGTGTCATAATTTGTTTCCAGTAGCTGGGAGTCGGGATACATGTCCACCACATATGGAAAAAGTCTGTGTTACTTTTTTCACAGAGCCAGCAATTGCAGAATTCATTTATCTTTTAAAGGTGGCTTCCTTTACTCCCCACCACCGTGAATGTCCTTCCTAGATTAAAGACTGGTTACTTGTATTCACATTAGAGTGGAGAAATAGCTCTCAGTTTATGTGGAGGTATAGCTGGTAATGACATTTTTCCTCTTTGCAATTTGTAATTTTTTGGTGTAAATCTCTACTCTGGAGGTATCACTTGTATTGGGGGGCAGGTTCCACTGCTCTCAGGGACCAGTCCCCTACATACACACACAGCAAGCTGTGTCCTAACAGTGTTACCCATTGCAACTATGATATGTATGTGACTCACAGGTCATGTGACCAGGATCAGTTATAAGAGTCTTTCTTGGCTGGTTGATCTTTGTCATCTGATTGGAACCCCTCCAGGAGGGAGAGTATTGATTAAGTATGCATCACTTTAACCACATAATTGCAAGGTTAATATGCACACTGTGTTCCTGGTCTAGCCCTGTGAAGGACCAGTTTCCATGTACCTTAATGTATGAAAAGGGTTTTACCATGTCTGTTCATCTAGCAAGGACTACAGTATTGACTCCAATGCAAAACTAGGATTGTTCCCAGGTATATCGTCAAAAAAGAGGGTTGTATTACATTTTCATACAAGTTACAATTATGTAGAGGTTTTTTTAAAATAACATTTTAGAGGGGGGTATCTTAAATTCAGGGTTGCCTTCCTTTTGATTAAATACAATATTTCTTAATACTCAGGGGCACCCAGTAAAATTGTTGAGAAATAGGTTCAGGGCTTAAATAAAGGAAATACTTCTTCTTTAAATGAGTAACTAAACTCTGGAATTCACTGCCAGCGGCCACAAGCACAGATTGCTTTAACAGTGGCTTAAACATGGAGGAGAGGCCCATCAGTGACTACTAGTCATAGTGACTGAAGGGAACCTCCATCTACAGAATACCAGTGCAGAGAGGCAGCAGCAGCAGCAGCAGGTAAATATGAACGTGAATATAAATACACATGATGCTGCCTTATACTGAATCAGACCATTGGTCCATCAAGGTCACTATTGTCTACTCAGACTGGCAGCAGCTCTCAAGGGTCTCAGGCTGAGGTATTTCATATCACCTATTTTCTGGTCCTTTTAACTGGAGATGCTGGGGATTGAACCTGGGACCTTCTGCAGTCTCCCTCTCAGGTGAGGGCCTTGACCAGTATGCCCTGGTTGTTTGACCCTCCAGGACAACTGGCTGGCTGCTGCGTGAAACAGGATGCTGGATTAGGGGGTCTACCAGTCTGATCCAGGAGGCTCAATTTACATTCTTAACAACTGACACCATTCCCCAGTGGTTGGTAACCCAAGCAAGAGTTGTGTTGGGATGGATATTCCCAGACAACAAAGCAGTCTGGAATATCTAGAATGAGCATATGCTTTGGGAAGAACTTTAAGGGCTGAGATATCCCTGCTAATACCAGCATAAGACATGGTATCTCCTTAATTTATCTGGGTTTTAGCCCTTCAGAGGAGATCAGGAGACAGTCTTTCATGAAGCATAACACTGTTAAAATCTCATGTGATTTAGGAAGAATGTTTAAGAAGCAGCAGCATTAAGATAATGGTGGTGGAAAGTGCCATCAAGGCACAGCTGATTTATGGCAACCCCATAGGGCTTCCAAGGCAAGAGACGTTCAGAGGTGGTTTGCCATTGCTTGCCTCTGCGTCTCGGCCCTGGTATTCCTTGGAGGTCTCCCATCCAACCAGGGTCAACCTTGCTTAGCTTCCAAGATTTGAGGAGACCAGGCTATCCTGGGGTATCCAGGTCAGGACATTGATAATAGCATGCCCCCTCCAAAGGGGGATTATTTAAACTGGTTCCGTATTTCTTTGTTTAATTTATTACATTGCTAAAGGTTGCAGAATGTCAACAACTGAAGCATGTATCTATATTACGTGTCCTCTTTCAAACTATGTTGGTGGTACCTGCATACTTGCTGTTCTGGCCATACCTGGCTCATACCGGAAGCAAACACTGTGAATATAAAGGATCTCGCCTGCTTTAAAAAATGAAACATTGTATCAGGGTAAACAGTCCAGAACTCCAGTGCAATGGGCCCAGTCAGAGTATTTACCAACATCTGTATGGGCACTCCCTTGTTTAGAAGACCAAGTTTAATAACGACCTTGCTACTGTTGACTTGTCAGATGGTACTGTAGTATTACAATCTGCATTTCACCATAATATGTACTGGGGGGGGGAACGCTTTGTAAACTACATCCGTTGTTGAGTTTGACTCTTGTATGTAAGCAAACAATAAATAAAGGGCAAGAGATTCCATGGAGTAAGATTATTTTAGCTAGCAATGACATGGAAATTACTAGAGCAAGATTTATAAAAATGTATTTCAAAATATCATTGGCACGT